AAAAAAAAAATTACTCTGATATGAACTCAACGTCATTTTAGATGTTTGTTTTCACTTGATTTATATGTATTCATATAAAATATGTACATAAGTCTAAAAGAAACATCCTGCATCAGTAGCCCAAGTGGTCACATCAATACATCTTCAGATTTTTCTTTAGCTTCCCACATAATAGCATCAATTATTACCACTTTTTTAACTGCATCATTAAAGCAGAAAAAAACAAAAATCGCATTCAACTGAACGTCACTGAGAACATTTCCGGTTATTTTTACAACCTTCTGTGTTGATATGTTTCAAACAATAGGAGATTTTGCAAATCCACTTGCAGCAATCATTTTTCTGAACAATTCTTGTCTGTTTTGATATGCGACATGATCAGGTTCCCATCGGAAAAACATTCCCCTGATCCAATATGGCGGCTTTCAAGATGGCCGCCACGTTCCAAGCATTGCCACTTTTTTACTGCATCATTAAAGCAGAAAAAAACTGAAATGTATTGGAGTAAATGTAAAAGTATGAAAATAATAAAAAATATGTAGTGGAAGAAAAGTAAAAGTATTAAACTAATCAAAAATATGTAGTGGAGTAAAAGTATTAAAATAATAAAAAATATGTAGTGGAAGAAAAGTAAAAGTATTAAACTAATAAAAATATGTAGTGGAAAAAAAGTAAAAGTATTAAACTACAAAAAAATATGTGGTGGAGTAAAAGTAAAAGTATTAAACTACAAAAAAATATGTAGTGGAGTAAAAGTAAAAGTATTAAACTAATCAAAAATATGTAGTGGAGTAAAAGTAAAAGTATTAAATTAATCAAAAATATGTAGTGGAGTAAAAGTAAAAGTATTAAACTACTAAAAAATATGTAGTGGAGTAAAACTATTCAATTCATCAAAAATATGTAGTGGAGTAAAAGTAAAAGTAGGGCAAAAACTCCAATAAAGTCCAGGTACTGCATTTTGGTGCTTAACTACAGTACTTAACAGCCTCAAACGTGGAGCCGCAGGTGTTTACAGGTGTTTAAATCCTTATTCAAATGGGCCGAGCCTGACAGCCAAACTGTGGTTAATGCTGCTCTGAGCTCTGAAATGAAACCTTAAAAGCCCTGAAAACTACTCCATACCTCCTTAAGAGGCTCCTTTCTTCTTAAGGAGGTATTTTGTGCGATCACTGACCCACAAAATAGTCCAGTCCGGCCTAATTTGACTCGTTCTGCCATTCGACTGACATGCAATCGATTTATTTAATGATGTTTGAGATGCAAATGCCCTTTAGGCAAGTCAGTCTAAAGATTATTCTTCAATATTTTTTTATTTACGCATGTTTTAGACCTGGAGAAGACGCCAAGAGTTTTCCAGAAACACTAAATCTGCAATAATCTTTATTTATATTATTTTTAAAATTTCTCTTTAGGGTTTTTTACATGAAAATGATTCATGCTTAAGTTAGTTTTTGTGATATTATCCAAGATATTATCCAATATTATACATGCTGATATTTTAATCACCTCCTGCTTTATTTTTAACCTCTAAAACATGTTTTTGTTTCCATTTGGTAGCACCTTTTTGGTCCACATGCCGATGATGATCTGTTAAAATATTCTATACAGAGGGATTTTTCTTGATTTATGGAGTTTTATTCTCCACAAATGGTAAAACAATGAAAGTGGTAACCTGTTTAATTTCAGTTTTTAACCAGGTCTGGCTCAGAAAATGTTTGTTTTCTAAAAACTAGAAAAGATTCTTATGGTATAATAAAGCTTTTTATGGACGACATGAAAATTATTCATGCTTAACCTAGTTTTTGTGCTAAAGTATGCTAGGCGAAGCTAAGCTAGCGTCTGTGTGGAGCCTCTGGTGGTCATAAAATGGTCATTAGAGGTTCAAAACTAGAAAAGATTTTTATGGTATAATAAAGCTTTTTATGGTATAATAAAGCTTTTATGGACGACACTGCCTTTAGCTGCGTTAAATGCATGATAGTTGCCAAATTTTGGCCTTTTTAGAAGATAATTTCAACAGTGGGAGGATGAATTTGAATAGAGAAGCTGGAGAACAGAAAATAAGGAAAAGATTATTCTTCATTATTTTTTAATTTCAGCATGTTTTAGACCTGGAGAAGACGCAGACAGAGGGATTTTTCTGTCTTTTTGCAAATTTTCTTGATTTATGGAGTTTATGGAGTTTTTTTATGGAGTTTTATTCTCCACAAATGGTGAACAATGAAAGTGTCAAACAATTCAGTTTTTAGCCAAGTCTTGCTCCCAAAATGTTTGTTTTCTAAAAGATTTTTATGGTATAATAAAGCTTTTTATGGTTTGATAAAGCTTTTTTACGGTATAATAAAACTTTTTATGGTCGGCACTGCTTTTAGCTGCGTTAAATGCATGATAGTTGCCAAATTCTGGCCTTTTTGGAAGATAATCTCAACAGAGGGAGGATGAATTTGAACAGAGAAGCCGTCCACATAAAAAGAGGAGAACACAGTGAATATTAGACGTCTTCTGACTGTGTTTTTTTTCTACTCAGGCTCCGTCTCCAGACCCTCCGACCCGGCCTGAGGCCCCTACGCCCGAGGAGAAAAAAGCTCTTCCGGGCGCCGTGAAGCTGCCCGGGCCCGCCGTCAATTTATCCGAGCTGCAGAACGTGAAGAGCGAACTACGATGGGTCACCAAGGAATAACCGGTGGGTTTCCCTTGTTTTAAACAGGCTTTTTCCCCAATTATTTTGAGCCAAAGCAGCAACTTTTTAATGGGAAGTCCATGTTAGTCCATTCACTATCACTTA